CCATATACCATAGGCTTGTTTTTCATTTCCATCTCCACTCTATAATCCCAACATACACACGCACGCGCGCATGAACAAATAAAAGGAACTTTATTATGGGTTGTAATGTATAAGGTAGGATGATGGATTGAATGTGGCAAAAGGAAAATTCCATCAACTTTAGTAAATGCTAAGCACTTCAATTAAACTAAGGTATGAAGGAATTTCAATAGGAGGAGAATCCATTCACTAAAGTTAACATTCTTTTGTAAAAATCAATCGTTTGATCATGATTATTATTATCACTTTTTTTTATTCTTTTTCCTTCTTTCCATATTTGTTTTTTTTTCTTTCTTTTTGAATATGTATACCAAATATAGGCTCTTCGATATTATGACAATTTTAATCACTCTAACTCCTTTATGAGATCTTGATGCTTAGCACATCCTAGAGTAATGGTATAAGGAAAATTATGTTGGTTCAAACAAAAGGCTATATATCTACTTTTTAATGATAAAAATGATGTCAAGGGTCAAATGGGTATAACAAAAGATAAGTGTGACAAGGATGGTTATTTGGCCAAACTAACTTTGGAAATGAATGCCTAAATCATTTTTGTGCATGTAAAAGGTCATTTTAAATCTCAAAAGAGATTTAAGACAAGTTTTAGAAATGGAATCACAATAAGTAATTTCTCTCTTGAAAGAAATGAAAGTTTTAGGCTCAAATTCCTCACAAGCTTTTTGGACTCCCTAAGTTGAGTTATCCAAGCCTAATTCTTTACCTAATTGCAAACATCACATGAAAAGGTAAATCCCAATCTAACTTGATACCCTCAAGTTCAAATACAACTAATCATGACAGTATTCATAAGTAAACCAAAAAAACACGAGACACACAATTTTTTTTAAATAACTAACAACAAATATGTACAAAAAGAACTAAAAACACCCATATGTACAAAAATTAAAGACACACAATTAATCAAAAATAGAGTAACATGAGAACAAAAAATTTAAGACAAATTAAGGACAAACAAGGCAAGACAAAGTTAATTTCACCCTCCCCCACACTTAAATAACACATTATCCTCAATGTGCAAACCAAATTAACAATACAAGCAAGAAAAGAGGGGAAAGAAACTAACATTTACCTGACAGAATGAAGAGATGAAAGTGATCTAAATGTAGAGAAAGGACAAAAATCATGTAATCTACAGAACATTAAAAGGGAGACATGGAAATAAGACATAAGACCTCATAAATAGATTTTTTTTATACAAGGTAAATAATATAGCTAAAGGAAATGCAAGTATAGTTCTACAATCATCTAAAAAGAAAATTAATTTAAGATTAAATCGTAAAAAAATAGACAGTAATCCAGACTAAAAGAGAAGTAAAAGAAAGAACAAAAGCAGCTCCCCTTGAATGGGACAAATTAAGGTGCAGGGGGTAGGCGTCTCTCAATTACTGCAACCATGTCCCATAATATAGAGACATCATGTTGGACTTGCTCTAAGCGTATGGTAAGTTAGCAAGCATTTGAAAAGTACGCTCCTTAAATGGCTCAAATGGTCTACTTGGCTCGTCATTAGTAGGTTCCACCTTTTAGTTCATGGTTGCATTTAAAGTCCTATCTTCAATGATTGCATTCCTAAGAGACATCAATTTAAATGGTTGTGGTACCTCTAACAAGTTAGTAGAGAGTGCCAAAAACCCTTATTGCACACGTAAGATAAAAATGAGATGAGGATAAATCATGGTAAATTTAGTAGCCTTGGTGTCCTAGACCATAGCTTGTATCGCCAAAATCAAATTGGAGTAAATAATGGCTTTTAAGTCAATTTATTGCTTTGTCATGATATAGTATATCAACACAGCCTTGGCATGGGAGGTGGGCAACACATTGTGAATGAAAAAATAATGCTAGAATTTAACAGCTTATTATAAGTTAGAATGGCACAATCCCTAATTCCATTTAGCTTTCGTGAAGTCAATTGCTTAGTGATCATCTCATGAGGGCAAGTTGACTTGTCGTTAATCAACTCTTGGTGACGACAAGAGTCAATTTCTAAAAGATCATGATACATCCCAATGGCATCCTTGTTGAAATGAACAAATTTGCCTATCATATAAGATGTGCCTTCTAGATAGAATAAATTGGTAAAGAACTCACGCACCAAAGACAAGCAACCAATTTTTGAGGCAAGCAAAGCAGTTTCCACTAGTTAGCTTGAATAATTTTATAAGTCGAGTATGGGTCATCATAAGGGAATGCTTATTCTTGTATCAGTCGATTGTTAGAAAAGCATTGTGAATATTTAAGCTCAACAAATAGCATACAAAAGGTATCAGTTAGTCATGGCCTAGCTTGCTCTAAAACTAAAGGTGGAAAGTCTACATGATCAAGAATAGATGAGTTTGACTTGACAGATCGCTTAGATTAGGATGAAGTGGCCTTTAATGAAGCCTTGCATTTGGTGGTCTTTCTCTTGTTGGAAGGTGGCATTGTGTATCTATAAGAGACCAACCATCACATAAGATAAAGAAATACAAGTACATAAATATGGTGAAAGGAAATGGAAGAAAGTCAACAATCTACTTTAGTAGTTTAAGCAAAGTAAAGAATAGTAGGATAAAAAAACAGCAACTCCTTTAACTTTCAATATAAACTAAGCTAGATAATGGAACATTCAAAGCAATAATTCATAATAAGCTTAAGTATAAAATGCTAAGAACCATGTAAATGCAACTAAATTGAAGCAAATAGAACATTTCTAGTAATTCCTCACAATGTATAGTCACAGAAAATAACTCTAATAAACTTCTTCAGTAAAGTTCATAACATATTCAGCAAGACACAACACAACTCCATCAATTAGAAAATTGCAAAACCTAACAAACTATCAGACAATCAATAAAAATCCAAGAGCAATATGACTAAGAAAGACAGCAAAGACATGGCCAATTGATTAATTCATGATACATACAGTAAAGAACTATAGGCATGAGCAACCGTGGACAATAAAGACTACACAAAGAAAGCCTAATGCTAAATAATCAAATAAATTCATATAGGACTCATTTGAGTAATCCTAGTAGTAACAGGGCTGTGTGTAAAATTACAAATAACTTCCAAGCACTACCAAACATTATTCCATAAACGAAAGCCACACAAAAGTGAGAAACATTGATGTTTCTCACTTATCATACAAAAGCCAGACATTATCATCAATGAGTACTCAATTTCCATATGATAATGTTTACTCACTTATCATACAAAAGCTAGACATTATCATCAATGAATACTCAATTTCCATATGATATCTTCCACAATAAAAGCTAAATTCTAAAGAAAGAAAGAAAATTCACAAAATAACCATTTTAGAACCACAAAGTAGTCACAATAATTTAATGGGCATAGGTGATGAATAAATTCATATCTTAGTAGCATATTAATTAGAGTAGGGACACATGTATAATAGTTAAAGTTTAGGAATCAACATCATCTAAAACAATATATATCGCTTCAACTTAGCAAATTAGCATGAATGTGATACAAAGGAGATAAGCACAAACCTAAAGGGCAGTCAAACTAAGAGCAAGCAATCATAGCCAAGGGGAAAATAGTTAAAAATGTAATGACACAATAACACAAAACCCAATAGAAGGCATCAATAAAAAAACACATAGATATAAATATATAATGAAAGGAAGGACATAAACACCAAATAAACCCAAACTGTAGAACCCAAACTCATGTGGATGGGACAATGATGAAGAATGATGGGAATAGAAGAATGGGGAAAATGTATGAGGGCGAGGATGCTGGAAATAGTAGTGAGTGTGAGAGTTAGCTGACGCTTGTAGAAGACATAAGGGATGAGGAAGAGCACAACAAGAATGAAGGCATAGAGGTGAGGGCTTTTGAACATTCTAAGTTTTGATAAGAATGAAAGTGAAGAAGAGGGATAATGTTGTAGGGGAGGATGGATAGTGGTAGGCACTACCTCAATAGTCATTGATGGCGCTGAACCATAATAAAGAACTAGCAACAATCACTGGTATGATAGAAGGTGGATAAAGAGGAGAAGAGGCTTAAGTGTGAACGATGGTCATTGGTATGGGGTATCATGGTTAGTGGC